TGACTTTGATGCCAGTGGGCTCCCCATTGTCCTCTCCACCTCAATGCTTTTAATTTCCATACAGATGCTCCAACACTCTGACCCAGTGTTTTCTCCACCACAGATCATGGCTCATTAATGGGTCATGATATCAATGTAGTGTGTCATAACCCACATTACAAAATGAAATGGAATGGAACTGAGTAGATGAGTAGCAGCACGTTGTATTAGGTAGTGGTATTTTTTTTTTTAATTAAACTTTTGTTTCAGACACATATGTCTGTACTGCCATGGATGCTGGGTTCCTCAACTTCCTCTGCTCCAAGAACCTTCTCTCACCTGTTCTCCACTTTATCGACTGTTCCTACAACCACACCATGGACCTGGTCATACCAAGAATGGATCCATCTCCAAAATTTGCTATTCCTATTGCATAACCACTGCCCCTCCTATTCTTCCATTTCTCTCGTGTCTTTTGCTAAGCTTATGACTTTTATTTTTCTTCCTTTTTAGCCTGTATTTCTTGAATCCAAACTTTTTAATCCTCAGCATTCTTGCTGCCACTGACTTAGCTCAGGTCATTAATGTCTTCCTTCATGGGCAATCACTTTAACCTCTCAGATGGTCTCCCTGCTACCCTCCAGAATTACCCTCTTCAAGTCCCAAACTGACCATGTCATTCCTAAACGTAAAAGTGTGACCTGATTCCCTTTGTCCAGACTCATGAGGCTCTTCTCAGCAGAGAATTTGCTCAACCAACTCACCGAACCAGAATTTATTTTCTTTCAGCAGAGTGCCTCTAACCAAACTCTTCATTTCCTCATCTCTTGCATGCATCCAAATACAGATATGTCACAGCTTCTTGTCCTGCCACACCCCTATTCTGGGTATCTGCTCCATCCACAGCCCTTGAAGGGCAGATCCCTGTGTGCATCTCACACCACTATCACATCCTACTAGCCATGGGAAGGCCTCTAATTCAAGAGCAGAACACAGGGACTGGCCAGCATGCTATGATGAATGTGGCCAGATTCCTCTCCTAGAAAATTAGGCAACTCTTCCAAAAAAGCTGTGGGAGCTATACGTGAAAGGTCCTGCAGGTTGAAGCAGAAGAAAACAGTCCACAGAAAGAGAACCAAACAGGAGAAGCAGCTCCTGAGAGAGAAACCGAGAAAGTAGTTGCTTCATTTCAGTGGTCAGTTCTCAGTTGCCAGAGGCCTGAGCCTCACACTTGCCTGAGTGACCTTCAGTGGGCCCTTTTTCCTCCATCCAAAAAAGCCCAAGAAAGAATTTTATCTTACTGCCTTTGCACACATTCTGTACTTTTCTCCAGAATGCTCTATCTCCTTTTTCCCATGTGGCAACTACCTACTTTAGGAAAATAAATGCCCTGTTGTGAGTCTGCAGCTCCTCAAGCCAGTCCTTTCGCTGTATCCCTTTAGAATTTTGCTCCTTCCTTATTATTTTAACATCTACTGCACTGTTTTATAATTGTTTGTGTTTCTGTATCTGTCTCTGGACTCTCAGCCTCTTGGGGACATATCCTACTCATATTTTTATCTCCCCAGTCTGGAGGTGAGTAGCAGATTCCATTGGTTCCCTACCCACACCGCCTATCCTGACATTGCTCCATGCAGGCCAAAGACCAGGAGATTAGTCCCCCAGGAAGGACCTTCCATTAATAAGGAGTGGAGGGTGGAGGAGAAATACCTCGGTTTCCTTCCCCTCACTGGGTCCACTGCATTCTCCACAGTCACTCAGAAGGACTCCTGTGAAATCGAGCCCCAGTTGCCTATAATGGTTTTCTTCCCTGTCTCACTTCCTCACTCCTTCATCATGTCTTCTACAATCACCTCCCAAATAAACTACTTACACTGAGATAAATACATGCTTCAGGGATTGCTTCCAGGTGAACCCAAACCAGGAAGGGAGATAAAGCATACAGTGCTTGACAAATAGTGAATGAGCAGGTGAAGCCTTCAGCACCTTACCCCTCTTCCTGTTAGCACAGGATTTCAAGAGTTGACCCTACCCCTCTATCCCAGTTCCCATCCTTCTTCCAAATAGGCCCCATGGTCATGAACTTTGACCTCAGGCTCAACAGCACCCCCACTTCCCCTGGTCACCGGTCATTCAGAATAGCCTACCCTGGCCGTCCTCAAGGACTAACACAGCTGTGGGCCCCTTCCAGTCCTTGGGAAGATAAGTGCTGCCAACGAAACTCTCCTATTATTAGGTTGGTTGGGGCCATTTCACATAATTTTCAGCTCTTGACATAGCTTTAAAATTCTTTTATTGCCCCCATTCATTTCCTTTAGCAACCTCTACAGAGACTATGTCCACCTTTCCCCAGAGTGCCTACTCCCTTCTTCATTCTCCCACCTGCCCTCCCAGTATTGGGGGTACTTGAGTGAATGAAGTTACCAAGTCACAGCACTTACTAGAAGAGCTCAGATTCTAGAACCACAGTGAAGCCCCTGTTACAGCCAACACAGACATGCCAAGTACAGTGCCATGTGCAGGGCAGTATATAATTGTTAAAGGACTATCAACCTGTCAAAGTAGTCTGGATTGGCCAGAGGATGATGGTGTTGTGGTGATATTGAAAGCAAAGGAAAACATTTGAGTGAGTACTATTATTACCTCCATTTTTATATATGAGGAAACTGAGGCACAGAGAGGTTAAGTAATTTGCCCAAGGTGACAATGGTACAGACAGGATTTGGACCCATACCGTTTGGCATAGAGACCATGAACTTAACTATTATATGACACTATATCTACTGATTTTTGAACACAAAATTCTTGATAAATGATTGAAAAGTCAATACAATAGCCTCCCAAGGCTGAGATGCTTATAATACATATCGGATCAACCAGTAATACATATTAAACAACTCAGATGAAAAAGTACTACATGTACAATCTGCCTTGCATTATTACATACCCCTTATTAGTGAATATAAAACTGAAATGCATGCATATTTCTCCTGGCTGCTTTGTGGATACCAATCATAGCTAGAAGTAGTCAGTGTGGTTGGTGCACGTGTGGAACACAACAGTAAACCGAGGCACCTCCAAAACATGATTTAAAACATGGTGTAAAAGCTTCCACATCTGAAAAATGGAAAGCTGGAGTAGACAATGTCTCAGGTCCCTTCCAATGCTAAAATTTTGTTTTTCCATCTTTGTATAAACAGGAAACACTTGATTTCAAACCGATCCCGATTATACTTGAAATGTCACTGATGTGGGGGATTGAAGTCAGGGAGGGGAGCCTGTGCAAGGTTTGGTACATTCATTGCCACACAGTCTCCAAGACCCACATTCCGTGAACACCAGTAGCAGTGTTTTCATATCTGAAGAATCTCTCTGCCAACTATGTCAAAGGCCTTCAGATATGCAAACTGTCACTTGGAGTGTCCAGGAGGTAGCAGATAGTTTTAACTTCAGAGTGTCCTTGACCACTAAAAAGAAGGCGCTGATTAGAAACTATCTCAGGCCAGGATTTGGGTCTGCTACATATAGTAGGGATTAGCTCATTATGCTAACGCTGGCTCAGAGGATCACCAGTGCATTTTCTCTGTGTGGCTTGGGTCCAGCTTCTGTCCTATGGGCTACTGCCCTGTTCTAGATACCTATCACTAGGCACATTTTAAACGTAAAGTAATAAGCACTGTATGGTAAACTCTTCGTGGAGATGGGTCATACCTGGGGTCAGATGTACATCCACAGGACCATTTCTTTTGAACTTCCCAAGAGGGTTAAGAGGTCTCTGATCTTTGGCCATTTTAGAATAAGAATTACTCAATCTGTCCCAGATAAAGCCTTGTGGGAGTACGAGAGAATACAGTCCAGGTGAGATTATCTCAAAAACGTATGCAAAGTATGTTGAGAAAGAAAATAAAAAAAAAAAAAACACACACACACACACACACACAAAACACAGGCATTGACCACACCTTGTTTTATCTCCTTTCCAAACTTATTGCCAAAGGCAGAGAGGATGGAGGCTGTCTGGAGGCTTCTCCTGGTTTATTTATCGCCCTGCCTGCCTCCTTTCACACAGGGGCTTCCACTTTTGGACGCTAGCTTCCCTCTGCCTCAGAAGCACCCATGCAGTTATTCTCCAGAGTAGGCCTCCTGCAGGACAACCTCTCCTCATGACTCTTTACACATCTTTTATGAGTCGTATGTGTATTAGGTGCTGAATAAATGTTTGGTGAATTGATCCAGTGTGCACTTGTGCTAGCGGGGCGGTGGGGGGGTGGTGACTTTGAAGGAACTCTGGCTCACTGGCACACCGAATGCCTTACAAACTATCTCATTTAATCCTTGGTGGTCGTCTGGATATCACAGACCCCATTTCTCTGATGAGAGGAGCTGAGAAGCCAAGAGGGTTATTTGCTCAGCTTACACGGTCCATGGAGGCTACAGAGGCTCCACTCCCCCATTTGGTCTGCAAGGTATTAATAGAAAAGACTTGAGTATTCTTTTCCCCAGACGCAGAGGGGTAGAGGCCTTGGCTTAGGGCCACTGGGCAAGTGGTGGCACACATCCAGAAAGCTTGCTTTGGGAGGGGATGAAATGAGACATCTTTCTGCCATCATTTATCTGAGAGGTGATCCTTCCAAATAAACAACTCTCGGAGACTACATTTTGAAACATCTGCTACCCCTCTGTGCCCGGCCTGTCCCGGGCGAGAGCGGAGTCAAGTTTTGCCTGAGAGCCCAGGCCAGGCCCCTCGCCTCGCCGCCCGCTAACGCCAGGAGGATGCGGGGGCTAGAGGAGGGGGGTGTGGGGCGGCGAGAGTGGGGTGCAAAGCCCGTCCGGCTGCAGGACTGGCCCATCCACACGGCTTTCTCGGGACTACCGAGACGCGGCTACCGTGTAAATCCGGCCGCCTTAGCTCCTTAGCGCCTCACGCCTCCCTGCCCCCAGCTTCACCCCTCCCTCCTCTGCCTTAACCACCCCACCCCCCGATGTGCCGATCTGGTCCCACCGGCCCTGGGGACACTCACCCTGCCACTCGAGGACCGGGTCGGGGGTAAGTGCCATCGCCGCGCCCTCGGTGAAGCTCCGTGGCGCCCCCAGCAGAAGCAGCAGCGGCAGCGACCGCAGCAACAGCATCCCTAACCACTGGACTCGCCGGGCGCCCGGGGTGACGGTCGCGGCGGCCAGCTCCACAGCGGGAGCGCGGGGATGCGGTGCTGGGGGCGGGACCGCAACCCCCACCCCCCAAGTGCTCCACCCTCCGGGGGCCTCGCTGCCCCTGCGTCCCGGCGACCCACTCCGTAGCCCCTGCCGCGGCCGTATGCGGGAGCTCGGGGCTCTGGGCCGGAGACAGGGAAGTTGCAGAGGTTTTCCCCGCCCTACCCACTCGGGCTAGGGCAAGGAGGAGGAAGAGGAGGTGGACCATCTGCCCATCCCAGAAATTCCTGCCTTTGGGGTGGGGAGAGAGGAGGGGTGAGGCTACCCCGTGCACGCTCCTCCTGCTTCCAGCAGCCCCTCTCTTTCCTAGGGGAGGCCGAATAGGAGTTGGGGGGTGAGCAGTTGAGAATCCCTGGGACAGGAAGTCTGACATCTGGGTTTGCAAACCACCCGGATTCTGGTAAACACCACGGGTTTGGCAGCTAGCAGCTTAGAATAAATCGAGCTGTGCTGTGAACCCAGGCGCTTTGGGAGCACGCTGGACTTCCTCTCCTCTGGAATGTTAACCATTGGAGGTCTTTGGGGTGCGCCTGGCTCTTCCCTCCAAGTACCCTAAGGTTCTTCCATTGTTGAGCTCCTTTCCTTTTTAAAATGCCACCCCCTACTTTCCTTCTCCTTGGATCCCCTAGCCCAGCAAAATAGCTGGGTTATCCCACTTTATAGCTGAGAAAAACTGTCGGGAAAGGCAAAATTATTTGCTCTAGGTCATCCCTTAATCTAGCTAAATTAGTAAGTAGGAAAAGCCTAGAATGTAGTTCTAACTGTAGTCTTTCAAATAACCAGCAGAACACTAGAAACATTTAATATCCGTGAGAACAAGCTAACATAAAATGGTTCCTAAATAGGACCTTGACCTTCCTCATTAAAAACTCAGAAGGGGGGGGGGGCGGGGCGGGCGATTAAAAAAAAAAAAAGGGGGAAGGTGGTGGGATCTTGGAGGTCCTTTCTCAGCTGTCTATTGACAAAGACCAAACCAATATTTTTTTTTTCAACGTTTATTTATTTTGGGGACAGAGAGAGACAGAGCATGAACGGGGGAGGGGCAGAGAGAGAGGGAGACACAGAATCGGAAACAGGCTCCAGGCTCCGAGCCATCAGCCCAGAGCCTGACGCGGGGCTCGAACTCACGGACCGCGAGATCGTGACCTGGCTGAAGTCGGACGCTTAACCGACTGCGCCACCCAGGTGCCCCTCAAACCAATATTTTTGAGTAACAGGTGTCTGCTATAGACTGAATTGTATCCTCCTCCCCCAGTTCATATGTTGAAGCCCCACATCTCAATGCGATTGTATTTGGAGATAGGGCTTTTAAGAGTTAATTAAGTTTAATGAGGTCTTAAGGGTGGGGTCCTAGATAGGATCAGTGGTCTTAGAAGAAGAGGGAGCCATCTCTCCACCTGTAGTGGCGTAGGAAAGGCCACTTGAGGACACAACAAGAATGTAACCATGTGCAAGCCAGGAAGAGAATCCTCATCAAAAATTGAAATTTTGGACGTTGATCTTGGACTTTCTAGCCTCCAGAACTGTGAGAAATAAGTATCTCTTGTTTAAACCACCCAGTCTATGACGTTTTCTTCTTGTGGCGCAACTAGACTAATAAACAGTTTTAGCCTGGTTCCCCAGAAAGCAGAACCTGGGATGAGATCCCTGGCAGGAAATGGGATTAAAGACCAGAGTGAAATAGGGAACTGCAGTAGCAATATATGTTCAGTCCTGCAGGAACCTCAGAAGGTCTCCAATCTGTTTGTCCTGGGGAAAAGAAGAAAGCATTTAACTGTAGGCTCACCGTTCCCTCTGGTTGTGGTGATTCTGGGGTTATTAATTCCCCTGCACAGTTCCTTGGCAGTGGTGAGCTTTAAGCACAGTCCTATGCTGAGGCATCTAAGAGGCCCAGGGGCGGGCAGCAGCAGGTGCATGGCATGGCTAGAGGTGAGGCGCTGTCAGATTGCCCCACAAGGAACCTGGAGGAAGCCTAGGCAGGGCTGGCTGCTGCAGAGGCAGTTGGGGTGAGGTGAGGCTGAGAGAATGTGAGAGGTTCCAATGTGTGTACTGAGTCAATAGCATATCATTATATGTAAAAGTTAGCATCTCTGCCTGAAAACATGCAGAAAAGGGATGCTTTCAGCATACTGACTATAGAGACTTTTATCATGAAGTATTTCTTCTGTGGCCTCAGGACTACATTGTGTGCTATGGGAATATCTCCAAAGTAGATGATTCAGGCCTGAGTGGGCTGGCATCTCCTGCAGCAGTCAAGTGCAATCCACATGCATAATCAGGTATCAAAGTGCAACACCGATGTCAATCTTTGGTGAAGGGCGGTGCAGGGAGATTAAACGGAAGAGAGACCAGGAGGAGCTAGAGCGATTGTACAGGGTTTGATGTGGAGCAAGAGGCTGTGCCAGGATTGAAAGAAGTAATGAGAGAACATACAAAGGTTTGAGTGAGAAATGCTTGCATTAGCAACAGTGAGTAGGTGGGCCTGGGTGGGGCAAAGGGCAGCTCCCGGGACACCGTGGCAAATGAGGTCAGTCACTGGGACATTGGGCTACCCCCCACTGGCTGTGGGATCCAGGTGAGAGAGTGACCCGCCATGGACTTCAGTTATACCCTCTGTGTGATGAAGAAAGGAGAAAGCCTTCCCTGACCCAACACAGACAATATTCCAAAGTAGCAGAGCTATGAATGGGAGCAGGATACAGAGAGGAAATAAGCCATATTTCATCTAAAGGCAATTAGTGTAATGAAGAATGGTGATGACAGCTTCCTGGCCTACCAACACCACATTTCCTATTCAACAATTAGAAGACTCAGAAAAGAGCTAGTTTTTCATCTCTTCCTGAAGTATTGTGGCTTTGAGGTGGAAATCTGTGGCAAAGAGCTTTTTAGCCTTGAGAAAAGCATTCTTTCCCATAGTCAAGTCTTGCGTGTGGTTTAGATCTATGAGGCAGGGTAGTGTAATGGTTAAAAGGTGCTCTGCCACTTACCAGCAGGTTACTTAGCCTTCTTTAGCTTCAGTTTTCTTCTGTGTACAATGCAGATGGTCACGTTTGCCTCATAGTGTTGCTGTATTTAATGAGCTAAGTATGTACAGTGCTTAGCACAGAGTCTGGCATCCTGAGAATGTTCGTCTGTGGGAGAGTCAATCCTGTTGTAATGATATAAAATCCTGTGTCCTGACCCCAGCTAGGAATGGGGTGGCTGGAGCTCTGTGCCTGCAGGCCTTTGTACGTCTTCCCATTGCTCAATTTATCATTTAGAATTAGAATTAGTTACTTGAGGGGTGCTGGGTGGCTCAATCAGTTAAGCATCTGACTTCAGCTCAAGTCATGATCTCCCGGTTCGTGGGTTCGAGCCCCATGTTGGACTCTGTGCTGACAGCTCGGAGCCTGGAGCCTGCTTCGGATTCTGTGTCTCCCTCTCTCTCTGGCCCTCCCCCACCGACACTCTGTCTCCTCTCTCTCAAAAATAAACAAACTTTAAAAAATTTTTTTAAAAAGAATTAGTTATTTGATTATATCTCTCACTTGAATGTGAGTTCCTTGGGGGGTTGACTATATTTTCCTTCTCTGTGAATCTGCAGGGCAGCACATGTCCTGGCATTTAGTGAGTTCTCAAAAAGTTTTCACTGAATGAGTGAGTGAATGAAGGGAAGTAGGAATGAGATTGAAAGGAATATAGCTTTTGGAGTCATTTGAAACTCAAGAAAAATATTAGAACTTGTATTGTGTTGAATGAAAACATGGGAGAAGATTCAGGGATTTAAAACTCACTTAATG